TGCACCCTGTTCATGCGAACTGCTGAATGTGTGTATGTTAAGTTAACAACACCCCGAAAGCGGTCCGTGGTGCAATGTGCAGAATCGGATCGCATAGGCGTGAATACCCATGCAATCCGATTCTAGTGCGGACCAAAAAAAGGGCCCTGCACGTTTTTGGTGTGGTGCGATTAGAGCCATACAAAATTGCACACAAATCGCATGTGATTTGCACAGGAATGTGGTGCGCTTCCTGTGCGAATCACATGCGATATACTGCACCGCATATATGTGAACCCGGGCTTAGGGCAGTATGTGCCCAGGGACGATTGCCTAGAACACAGACTTCTTGTGTTCCAGGCATTTGTCCTTGGCAGTATACGCATGCATATAGCCTAATCGCAATAAAACATACGTATAGCTGTAAGTCTGGGTTCACACCTAAGCGTTTTCCGTTGCGGTTTGCAGAAACGCACAGCAGTCTATTTAACATGATTTCCTATGGGACACGTTCACATCTCCGTGTTTTCACCTGGTGCGTTTTTTTGGAAAGAGTCAGGGACTTTTTAAAATGAAAAACATTGCGTTTTTGGTTCAATAGACTTTCAATGGAGACGCTGCAGGAATGCATGTAGTGCGTTTTTGACGCGTTTTGCAGTTTAATCTGCCCAACAAGTTGGAACAAACGCAAAATGCGTCAAAAACACACACCGCAAAAAGCACTGCAGAAACAGATCAAACGCAAACTGCATAGGTGTGAACCTAGTCTAAAGCTGACCATACATGTAAAGATTTTTGTTCAAGAATTTTCGTTTCAAGAATATTTGTTTGATTTTCTAATCGTTAGTGGGGTCAAATCGGTGTTTGTTTTTGACCGCAGTGAAGGGAAAATTCGAAGGGGCAGGAAGGAAAACTTTTCTCGATCAAACAAATTTTTGGCCAATATATGTGGTTATCGTTCAGAAATTACATTCATTTTAAACTCGATTGTTAAAAGCAAAAGACAATTTTTGAACGACATTCGTCCATTCACCAAATGTGCAAAGAATTTTCCTACATTTCCTCCGAAAATCTACACATGTATGGCTAGCTTAAGGCTTCTTTTAGACAGGCATTGACACTAATTCTGCACGCAGGGTGGATATGCTATTTGCACCTGCATCCACTCTGAGCTGCATACAGGCCGACTATAGAGGTTAGTGTAGATGTAACATCTGCACAAACACAGCTGAATGTCAAAATTTGACATGCATGCATGAGCGGGTGCACAGATTTGAACACACACACTGCCTGCGTTCGGATCTGTGTACCTGCTCCCGCACATATGTCAAATTTTGCCAAGTGGCTGTGTACAGGGAGTGTGCATGAGGCCTTAAAGTGGAACTTTAGGTAAAAAAAAGAAAAATGGTGAATGCTATGTCTCTTCTGCATTAATGATACCTACCTGCCTGTCTGCCACTGTACAGTGAGCTGCGCATGCACAGCTCACTGTAGAAATTCGGCAATGCCAGATTAAACAGAACGTCATGCCCATCCAGCCAATGATAGCAGCCAGTGAACAAGACCCCAAAGCCGCCTGCCTGAAGATGTCAGTGGCTGGGGGGGGAGCAGTGTGACGCCGCAAGCCTGGAGCAGAGGTGAGTATAGTCCTGCTTTAGTTAATGGCCATGCCTTAGGTTACCATGGCGCTACAGTGTCACTTGTAACAGGCTGAAGCAGGCCATAGATGAGTCGAAAAATCAAATGAAAATTCCTGTTGATCTTCGAATCATTCACTTTTCGCATAAATAGCGAGCCAGCTGTGACACACGATTTTTGTGCCGTAAACGAAGGTTCCTGATCTAGCATGCTGCATTTTTTTTATTTTTAGAAAAACAAAATAAAACAAATGATGGCACAATCGTATGAGCTATTTTCATTTTTCAATTGATAGAATATTTGGTTTTCGGTTCACTATAGCTGCCTAGGGCTCCCCAACGGGGTCAATTTAAAACAGACCATTTAGTTACGTTATAGGTTTGCATGACTGACAATGCTATACCTGCTATCATTAAAAAAAATAAATGACGCTTGTGTGCTCCAGTCAGTGACTTTGCCTAGGCTTTGATGATGTCATCAATCTGCTGCAGGCAGGAGGAATCTTTTCCTCACTCTCCTCTCCCCCACTGACCAGACTGCAACATTGTAACTTTGTAGTGTAGTTAAATGTTAAAGTTTAAAGGGGAACTACTAATACTTGGGTGCTGCCACAATAGCAAATCACAAGGTGAGAGGCATCAGTAAGGGCTGAACAGTGTTAGACATTTGTGAACATAGCCAAGAACTGCACAAGTTTGTGGATGGCTTCTGATCGATCAAATACCTGCACGAGTAGGAACAATGACTCTATAGTTGACAACCCATTTGATCAATATGTCACAAACTGAAAAGTGGATTTTGATCAATTGTTAATATACGCCCTGAGCGTCATGCAGGCAGCCTGCATGCAGCAGGTGTACGGACACCCACATTTCAAATTGCCTGCACAAACAAGGGCCAAACTGAACACATAGGGGTGAACCAAGTCTACTCACTATAAGTTAGTGGAACTTCTACAATTACATTTAGACTACAGCAGGAAATTGAAGGCAGACAATTATCTTCATTCCGTTATGACAAATGTAAACATAAATAGCAGAATCTGGTTGCTACGGTCAACAGGTTTCTCTTTATTCCCACAATGTAAACATGAATGGGAAAAGCTGGTTGCTATGGGTAATGGGGTTCTCTCTGTTCCCACAATGTAAACATGAATGGTAGAATCCATTTGCTATTGGCAATGGCTTCTCTCTGTTCCCACAATGTAAACATGAATCCGGTTGCTATGGGCAACGGGTTCCCTCTGTTCCCACAATATAAACACGTATGGAAGAATCCATTTGCTATGGGCAACGAGTTCTCTGTTTTCACAATGTAAACATAAATAGCAGAATCTGGTTGCTATGGTCAACAGGTTTCTCTTTATTCCCACAATGTAAACATGAATGGGAAAATCTGGTTGCTATGGGCAATGGGGTTCTCTCTGTTCCCACAATGTAAACATGAATGGCAGAATCTGGTTGCTACTGGCAATGGGTTCTCTCTGTTCCCACAATGTAAACATGTATGGAAGAATCTATTTGCTATGGGCAACCGGTTATCTCTGTTCCCACAATGTAAACATGAATGGCAGAATCCGGTTGCTATGGGCAACGGGTTCTCTCTGTTCCCACAATGTAAACATGTATGGAAGAATCCATTTGCTATGGTTAACGGGTTCTCTGTTTTCACAATGTAAACATGAATGGCAGAATCCGGTTACTAGTGCCAACGGGTTCTCTCTGTTCCCACAATGTAAACATGAATGGCAGAATCTGGTTGCTAGTGGCAACGGGTTCTCTCTGTTCCCACAATGTAAACATGAATGGCAGAATCCGGTTGCTAGTGGCAATGGGTTCTCTCTGTTCCCACAATGTAAATATGAATGGCAGAATCCATTTGCTATGGGCATCGGGTTCCCTCTGTTCCCACAATGTAAACATGTATGGCAGAATCTGGTTACTACTGGCAATGAGTTCTCTCTGTTTCCACAATGTAAACATGAATGGCAAAATCCGGTCGCTATGGGCAACAGCTCCTCTCTGTTTCCACAATGTAAACTTGAATGGGAGAATCTGGTTGCCATGGGCAAAAGGTCTCCCCTTAGACTTTCTCCACAGTAAATCTGGAGAACTAAGTGAGCAGTGATCTCATCACACGGCTTCCTAGCAAATCTAGCCTTGCAGCCTCTAACCATTGTGGGATAAAATTTTCATTTGACAGGCACTGAGTGAGACACCCCAAAGTCTGACGAGGACCCCCGAGCCGCCTCAGATCCTCTGAAGCGATCTGTTCCCGCGCAAACTGGAGGCACCCTATAACCTAGAATAGAAGGAACGTGGGCAAATATCGGGTGTGTGCAACCGCGGCGGGGGTGTGGAATCTATTCTACCTCAGCTCTGAGGCACAGAGGCGTCAATGTTATTCTGCGTTCTGCGGGGGAGCGGTTGTGGATGGGCGGTTATGACGAACTGTAACAGTCTGAGGAGCCGTATGAGGGAAGAGGAGCCGTCCTCCATGATTCTCCTCAGGTACTAATTGTGCTTTGTTATAGTGTGGAGACTATCAATGGGGAAAGGGCCGTCTTCAGAGAATGTAGTAAATACATTTAGTATTTGTGTCATGACGTAAAATGTATATAGAACGATTAATATTGTGATTGGTACTTTTTTTTTTTTTTAGGTATTACCTTCATGTATTGGTCTATATTATCATAATATGTATATCTTAGTAAAATTTCAATAAAAAAAAAAAAAATGTAAACATTAAGGCCCCCTTCACACCTTTGCATTCCAGGAACGTACGCAGAAACACGGTTCTGTGCGCATTCTCAGAAAGGTTTATAGCGCTTGTGGCGCCATTTATCAGCGAGCCTTGCTTGTTCTGACACAACAAAATGTGTCATTTAGGCTCCATGTACACTGCAGCTGATAAACGCACGTTTAGGAGCTGTTTTGCGTTTTTTTCAGCAGCCCCTGAACTCTCCCTAATGTTTTTTCCTATGTGTCCATGTACACATCATCGTTTAACCACTTTCCGCCCGCCCTAAAGTACAATAACGGGCGCAAGGCGGTTCTCTCGTTCTGATAGGACGTCATATGATGTCCTACCATTCTCACCACGCATGCGCGGCTCAGGGAGCGCGCAGCGCGGCGATCGCCGGTGCGCTGTGTCCCTCGGACACAGCGGATCATGGAAAGAGCCGAAGATGTCGGCGCGGTCATGTGATCAGCTGTGTCCAATCACAGCTGATCACATGTAAACATGGAAATGCCGGTTATCGGCATTTCTCTCCTCTCGAGCTGTCACGCTGACAGAGGAGAGGAAAACCGGTAATCGGCTTTCCGCGGAGGGGACATGAACACTGATCATCAGGGCACTGATGATCAGTGTGGCCCCAAAAGTGCCACCTGTCAGTGCTCATCAGTGCCACGTGCCAGTGCCCATCAGTGCCACATCAATGCCATATATCAGTGCATACCAGTGCACATCAATGCCACATATCAGTGCCCATCTGAGCTGCCTTTCAATGTCACCCATCAGTGCCACCTATCAATGCCAATCAGTGCCACCTATCAGTGCCAGTCAGTGCCACCTAACAGTGCCAGTCAGTGCTGCTTATCAGTGCCATATATCAGTGTCATGTATCAGTGTTGCCTTTCAGTGCCCATCAGTGATGCCTGTCAATGCCCATCAGTGCAACCTACCAGTGCCTCCTCATCAGTGCCCATCAGTGCCACCTATCAGTGTCCATCAGTGCAGCCTATCAGTGCCCATCACTACAGCCTCATTAGCGCACATCAGTGAAGGAGAAAAATCACTTATTTACAAAATTGTATAACATAAACTAAGAAAAAACTTTTTTTTTTCAAAATTTTCAGTGGTTTTTGGTTTGTTAAAGAAAAAATAAAAATCCCAGAGGTGATTAAATACCACCAAGAGAAAGCTCTATCTGTCTCAAAAAAATTATAAAAATGTCATATGGGTACAGTGTTGCATGACCGCGCAATTGTCATTCAAAGTGTGACAGCGCTGAAAGCTGGAAATTGGCTTGGGCAGGAAGGGGGTATAAGTGCCCTGTAGGCGAGGGGTTAAAGGCAGTTGAGTTTACAGTCTTTTTTGTTTAAAGCACCAAACTTGCGTTCAGGAGTAGATTTTATTAGCGGTTCAAACGCGTGTAAACGCAGCTAACCACGTTTATAAGTGTTTGCGTTTGGAAAATGTTTTTAATTCTTCCATTTCCAGATGCTGCCCAGAGCCTTTTTTTTCATCATGAAAAATGCATGCAAAGCATTCCCTGGTACTCAAATGGAACCGGTACACCATACTTTGAGGTTTCGCATGAAAGAAAATATGTTAGACACTGCTGCAATAATTTCTGCACAGAAATGAGCTGGAACACAAAAAAAAAGACAGCTAATCTCAACACATACTGCTCTCTCTATTTCTCTCTGAAATAGTTAATTTTTGACTGTTTTTCAGTGCATTCTGGGCATTTAGGAAGGTCTCCCGAGGTTATCTTTAGAAGCGTTTTTTAAATGCAAACTCGCATAAACGCGGTATGCAAACATGGCTAAACAGACTTTTTTTAACCTACATTTTCCAGCAGTCAGTTTCCATCGTTCAGAAGTGTTTTCCAAATGTCGCGTGTACCTGGAGCCTAAGAGACCCCGAAATAGCTATCAGACACACATTTTCTGTCAAAACAAGCAAGGCTCACTGACAAATAAAAAGGTTGCAGGAGCTACTTTAGCGCATTTCTCGTGCGTAGTGCAGCCCATTAACGTATATGGGCTGCCCTATGCTGTTTTGTGCCACACACGGAAAAACATACACATGCCCATCGCACAGGTGTGAATGGGGCCTAAAGATGAAATAACGCCAAAACTTTTTTTTTTCCTCTATTTTTTTTAACTGGTGGTACAGCCAGTAAGTCTGTTGTTTTTCAAAAGAACAAGTTGTCCTACAGATGTAGCAGTTTGAGGGTTGAGACAACCCATCTGCCACTGGCAGGGGAGCTTACAATGATCAGCTTTTATGTAATCATGTAAAACTTTTATCCCAAAAGGAACAAAAACTGTGAGCTGAAGTTTGGTTTTAATTTGTTAGTGTATCTAAATCTGCTAGTACATCTAAGGCTAGGTTCACACCTATACAGTTTGCATTTGAGCCGTTTCTGCATTGCGTTTTGCGCCTGTGTTTTTGATGCGTTTTGCTTTTTAAAACTTTTTTTTCTTGTTGCTAAGCAGATTTAAAATGCAAAACGCAGCAAAAACGCACTACATGCTTTTCTGCAGCAATTCCATTGAGGTCTATAGAAACAAAAACGCAACTTTTTGCATCCAAAAAAGTCCCTGACCATTTCCAAAAAACGCACCGGGTGAAAACGCGGAGATGTGAACATGTCCCATAGGAAATCATGTTAAATGGACTGCTGTGCGTTTCTGAAAAATGCTGCGGAAAACGCTTGGGTGTGAACCTGGGATAACGCTCCCCTCCCCCCAGACTGACAATGCTGCTGCTGTCATCCAGAATGGAGGCAGTCTAATAAAGGAGGTGTGTTACTGGCCAGAATACCAGGTGAAAACAGTAAGTGAAAAGTCTACAAAAGGAAAACTGATGCAGTCACCACATCTAATGATTGGTAAGCTGCAATATATGACATTTTTGATTTTGGGTTTAATACTGTAGACTAGAGGTAGAGGAATAAAGTGTAATAGTCACTTTATTCCTCAGTCCACAGCCTTCCTCTATATATACAGCTAGGGATGCACCGAAATTTCGGTGGCCGAAACATATTGGCCGAAAATATGAATGCCGATAGGAAAAATTTAGCGGATACAGGTGGCTGTGTGCACTGCAGATGTGGGGGGAGGGGGGGGGCAGCCATTTGAAGGCAGGAGAGGAGCAGTGTATACAGCTAAATGTCACTGAGGGTTTTTAAATGTAATTACCCACCGGCTTTTTTTTTTTCTTCATTATAGCTCCAAAAAGGAGCTGTCATTTTCCCCACTGCTAAAGGAAACAAGGGGGCGGGGTACTGGGTAATTTCACTGGGTGACACCGCCCCTTCGTTCTTTCAGCAGCGGGAGAATGACAGCTCCTTCTTAGAGCTATAGTGAAGGAAACAAAAAAGCCGTTGAGGGAGACTGAGTGTATACACTGCTCCCCACACCGTATACACTTCTCCTCTCCTGCCCTCTCCTTGCATATACTGCCCCCACCCCCTACAAAGACTACCTGTCACTCATATACTATCACATAGGGGACTATCGGTTCCCTCTGTGATAGTAATAAAATCATAAGTAAAAAAACAAATAAGAATACACATTAAAGTAAAAAACAATGCGAGCCTCCACACCCCCACATAAGCAGACATTGCGGTTTTGGCCATGTGCAATCTGAATTTTCGATATCGGTTTCGCCACCAGAATTTTAATTTCTGTGCACCGCAATAGCAGCCTATCCCCTGCAGCCACATGCTTTCCTCCTCACATGCAATGCAAGATTGATAGCTCTACATTGTACATGAGGGACCGCCTACAGCGTGTAGTGCCAGGATGAAGAGTGTTGGAGCCTGCCAAGAATATACGGTGATAAAGCTTCTTCCGCTACCCCCTAAAAATAACAAGCATTTAACCCTTGTAGTGTTTGGGATGCTCTGCTGCAAGGGCTTTTTTTCTTCATCCCAGAATTGGGTTCAACCTCTTGGTGCCAGTCCCTTTATTTCCTTTATTAATCTTCCTTCTCTGGACTCTGTACAGTTCCAGCACATGCTTCCTGAGGATTTGTTGCCAGAACAAGACCATATATTAGAGATGTGCCTGAACCAGAGTTTTGTAAAGTGGTAGAATTATTGCCTTTTCTCTTGAGCAGATACCTTTTTAAAGTAGAACTATAGGCAAAAGTTTTTGTTTGTTTTGGAGAGAGCAAGGCAGGGTTATAACCCCGTCTGATTTTTTTTCGCCATCTGTGTCCCAGTCGGGAAATTTACCTTCACTTCCTGTCCCATAGCCAAACAGGAAGTGAGAGGAAAATTAAGGGAATTCTTGACGACCCCCAGGTCACCAGAACTGGTGTCTCAATAGGAAGATTTCCCCTCTACTACTTTTCTGGGGACAACCCAAAATTTGGGATTTTCTTTTGCTTTCACTATTATTGATACTGGTAAACAAATAGAGAGGGTGAATCTCTCTAACATAGACATCAATAAAAACTGATAGGTATTCTAATCCTTCTCCACTCTATCCAAAACTATAAAATATGTTTTGCCTTTAGTTATACTTTATTGCATGCTAATAGTCTAATAGCCTTGCTTTCTGCAGTTTGGCATTGAATGCTATTGCTGAGCCTAGGGATGTGCAAATTATATCACCCGACGCCTAGGACATGCAGTTCCTAACACCGAGCAGCAGGGTTTCCTTTTTTTTTTTGCCCTGGCAATCCCCAAAAATTCACGTTTTAAGCAGAAGTTATCAAGTGGCTGAAGAGGAAAGACAGCGCTGCCCACTGGACACCTACACAGGACAACCTGGACACATCCCCACCTGCAGGTCCAACACTCAGACTGGCCCTCATGCCTGCCAGGCGTTAGTGACAGGGCCTGAGACCCCCCTTCACCTGTAGTGACCCCTAATATCACTTCTACTGGGGACACTGATCCCTGATCCTGACTCTCCAAACTCTGACCCAACATATCAGTTATGCTGTGAAGGACAATGACACCTTCCTGATACCCCTTATTCTCACTTTTTTTTTTACATTTAACCCTGCTGTGGGTAATCAGCAGGTTTTACTTTTATTTTTGCCCTGGTTATTGAACAGCCACTCAATCACTTCTGCAGAAGGGGGTCAGTTGTAGGGCCCGAGAGCGCTGCAATGGCAACACAATGGCAATGGCAACTGATGTTGTTCCTCCCTTTCTGTTACCCTGGAAACCAAAAACAACAAAGATTGTATCACTTCTGGTTTCGGGTCTTTGTTTACCTGGCTGTTAGCAGCCAGGAAAGCAGCCAGTCAGACCGATCTGTGTCTGATCGGCGGCATTGTATGCCAGAGGAGAAATATGGGATCTAATAGACCCCATATTTCTCTATAAAGAGGACCTGTCACAGCTAATACACAAAAAAAAAGAAAATTTAAAGAACGTGTAAAAAAAGTTTTAGATAAAATAAATGATAAAAATTAAAAAATAAACTTAAAGCGCCTCTGTTCCCCCGTGCTTATGTGCAAATGTGAGCATGCATGCGGACATAAGTCACACTTGCATATGTAAACGATGATAGCAGCACACTTCTCTGGTATTGTTGCAAATGTCAGAGCAACAGCAATAATTCTAGTGTAGAGGAAGATGAAAGAAAGAGCGCACAAACCTTGCACATTACCTCAATAAATAGTGACTGATTTTATTAATAAGGAAATATACTCACAAAATGATTGTATAACAGGCATAAGTAACCATAATCCAAACAGGGTTACAGGTAAATCAAAAAGGAGGGGGGATGAAGGCTAACGCGTTTCGAAGGGTGCTCCCTTCTTCATCAGAGCTGGGTTTGGCAGATAGAAACTTCAGTATGGCAGAGTTCCCATGGCAAGGAGATATTCAGCCACTGAGTGTCAGTATTACAGCAGTTCAGCCTGTTTAGTCACTATTTATTGAGGTAATGCGCAAGGTTTGTGCGCTCTTTCTTTCATCTTCCTCTTCAGTTTTATTAAGCTTCCCCAGCTTCATGATAGAGCTGCACAACCTCTGATCACCAGTGGATGAATACACAACACGCTGCTTGTCACTAACACCTGTTTGATCTGAGTCCTTGAGCACAGGAGATAATGGATCTTTGG